TGCCTTGTCTGTACTCATTCTGACTGGTCTCTCAGAACCCTTGTCTCAGGGTTGGACTAGTAGTGCCGCCCTGAGCTGCTTGTTTAGGACGTTCCCCTATGCAGTCTAGGGGTGTGTGTCAAACATGTGTATGTGTCGTGTTTGTATAGACTGTATAGGGTCGCCTCTTAGAGGGTACAATTCATAGGTATATCTGTCTGTACACTCTCACTAGCTATCATTCAATCTTTCAATTTGATATGGACTAGTAGTGCCACCCTGAGCTACGTATTTCTTGCTCAGCACTACCCCTTATCTAGCCTAAGGGGTGTGTCAACTTATACATATATTATTATGTAGAAGTTATAGGCTAGATAGGGTATGTTCTAAGTGGGTACAACCCAAATGCTATATCTCCCCTGTTCTCCATTCTTCTAATCATTCTTTCTAGTCTTAACACCATTTCCCACCTCGTTCTCCTCTTGTTGCTCCTCCTCTGTCTCCTGACCACACGCCTCCGTCTCACATCTAGTCTCGTCGTCCCTCTCGTGCTCGTCTTGTCACTCCTGTTTAGCGTTCGCACCCCATGTTGCTTCGTTCCCATGCGTCTCGTCTTCCCAGCTACATTTTGGTGTGTTCAAATCATTTTTCTATTTAGTCCTTTGTATTAGCGCATGGGCTTATATTATCTATTCGATTACAAGCGCATGCTGCTTTTTAAACCTAATCCCTTTAAGCACATATGCACCTTTATCCGGGGGATTACGGTATGGAGATGTAGTTTAATACAGCACCCGGCGTCGCCCAAACCAGCCATGGGTGATTAATTCCGGCTGGTGTTTTATCCGGGGGAATTCGGTATCATTCTGTGCATAAGATTATCAGAATAGGTATTGAATGATTGAGTAAAGTGAGAGTACACACAAATATACCTAAGTGTTGTACCCTCTAAGAGGTAACCCTATACAGTCTATACAAACATGACAAATACAGATGTTTGACACACCCCCTAGACTGCATAGGGGAATACCCTAAACAAGCAGCTCAGGGCGGCACTACTAGTCCAACCTCTGAGACAAGGGTCTGAGAGACCAGTCAGAAGGAGTACAGACAAGGCAAGAACAAGAGCAGGGCGGCACTACTAGTCCAGCCACTGGGAGAGGACACAAGTCCAGTCTGAGTATACATATAAAGGACAGTACAAGTCAAGGTCCTAGCAAGTGAGAGCGACAGGAACTAGACCAAGCTGTACACAGTGCCGCTGATGATCTTTAGGCGCAAGCGCCTTCGTAAAGATATCAGCTGTGTTGGCACCTGAGGCCAAGTGTACTACGCGAGCCTGACGTCGCTGCTGTAGCTCACGCAGGAGGAAGTACCGCAGCTGAATGTGCTTCGCTCTGCCCTCGAGTCGAGGCTCCTGACACAGGAGGATCATGGCCCTGTTGTCAGCGAACAGGACCGGGGCAGAGCTAGGCCGCTCACCTAAGTCAGTGAGCAAGAAGGTCAGCCAGCGGAGCTCCTGTGCCGCCATGGCACCAGCGTAGATCTCAGCCTCACAGCTGGACTGTGCAACAGACGAGGAGCGAGTAGCTCTCCACGAGACGGCACCTGAGCCAAGGCTGAAGCAGTAGCCCTGGGTAGACCTGAGTGTCTCAGCGTCGTCTGCCCACGAAGCGTCTGTGTGTCCAGTAAGGACCACTGGCCTGCGTCCTCCAAGCACTAACCCCATGCCCGATGTACTAGCAAGATAACGCAGAACCCTCTTAGCGGCAGACCAGTGCTGCGGTCGGTGTCTGCCTGTGGCCACAAAGCGAGCCAGGATGCTGAGAGGGTATGCGAGATCTGGGCGAGTGCAAGTCATCAGGTACATGAGGCAACCCACCAGCTCTGCGTAGGGGCTGGGCTCTACCAACTCCTCAGACACTGGAGCGGAGAGTCTGTGGTCTACAGGCAGAGGGGTGGGCTGTGCAGAGGAGAACTGAAGGCTGAACCTCTGAAGGACCTGGCGCACCAAGTGTGACTGAGTCAGGGTGATGGTGCGCGCAGCTCTGTCCCTGGAGATCTGCAAGCCAAGGTAACGGCGCAGTTCTCCAAGGTCAGTGCACGTGTGTCTCTTCAGCAGCTCTGCCTTCACGGAGGCCAGTGCGTCCCTGTCTGCGTGGCAAAGACCAGGTCGTCGACGTAAACAAGGATGTAGAACGGAGTCTGGCCAGCACGAACGAAGAGTGAAGGGTCTGCGGAAGACGGAAAGAACTGCAGGTCAGCAAGGTAGCACGAGAGTGTCGTGCCACTCACGGGGAGCCTGGCGCAGGCCGTAGACGGGGCGCCGCAGGAGCCACTGGGTCCCAGGAGGGAAGGTGCCAGTAAAGCCCGGAGGGCGACGCAGGTAGACCTGCTCGTGTAGGCTGCCCTGAAGGAAGGCAGTGGAGAAGTCGAGGGAGTGAAGCTCGTAGTCACGCTGAGCAGCTAGGTGTAACAGAACCCGAAGAGTAGTCATCTTCGGGGTCGGAGCGAAAGTCTGGAAGAAGTCCACCCCCTCGCGCTGACTGAAGCCTCTAGCCACATAGTGCGCCTTGAAGACAGGCGGCTCTCCAGGAGGGCGCTTCACCTTGAAGAGCCAGCGGCCATCGACTACGTTCACCCCAGGTGGGGGAACTGCGTCGACGAAGGTGCCGGTGGATCTCCAAGATGCCATCTCCTGCTCCATGGCAGCTATCCACTGTGAGGCCCAGGGTCCCGAAGTCGCCTCAGCGTAAGTGCGAGGGGTCGGGGTGTCGAAAGCGTCTGGGTCACCCTCAGGGACTATCAGCATGGAACAGAGATGGGGAGCAGCCTCGGAGAGGAAAGCAAGCTCGAACTGGCGGTCCTCCAGGGACGTCACTGCCAAGGACAGGAGCACCCCCGACAGACGGAGGACAGGCAGGGTCAGAGACCAGAGCGGTGGCGTAGTCAAGGCGGTGGGTAGAGGCGAAGTCAGCGACAGCAGCGACAAGAGCGTCAAGGCACGAGACCGGAACAGACGGGTCGGTAACGAGAGAGGCAAGGACCCGAGGAACGAGAGGACGAGCGGTACGAAGGTAGTCGGACAGCGGGGGGGGCGCAACAACAAGGGAGGACGGAGGAGGACGAGACGCGTGGGAACGAAGCAACATAGGATGGGAGCGCAAGACAGGCGAGGCAGGACGAGCACGGGAGGGGCGGTGAGACCAGACGTGCGACGGAGGAGTCGGGTCAGGAGACAGGGGAGGGGACACAGGAGGGGAACGAGGGGGGAGACGAGCCGGGGACGAGTCCGGCGGAGGGAAAACAGGGCCGTAGACAGGAAGAGGAGGAGACGGTCGGGGAGGAACCGACGCAGGGTCGGGGGACGCAAGGCCGAGCAGGCGAAGGGCGGACACCGGCGGGGACCGCTGCTGCGGCGGCACAACGGCGACACCTGGACCGCAAGCTGCTCCTCGGCGACCACCGGCACACTCCACACCAGCACCCCCAGAGGGACCACCCCCAGGGCGACCGGGCGACCGGGCGGCAGGGCCGGGCCGGTGCGACGGGGCCGGGCGAGCGGGACGGCGGCCGGGCGGGTGCGACGGGGCCGGGCGGCTGCGACGGGGCCGGGCAGGGTGGGACGGGGCCGGGCGGGGGCGACGGGGCCGGACGGCTGCGACGGGGCCAGGCAAGGGCGACGGGGCCAGGCGGCTGCGACGGGGCCGGGCGGGCGCGACGGGGCCAGGCGGCTGCGACGGGGCCGGGCGGCTGCGACGGCGCCGGGCGGGCGCGACGGGGCCTGGCGGCTGCGACGGGGTCGGGCAGGGTGCGACGGGGCCCAGGAGGGGCGCGACAGAGCCCAGGAGGGGCGCTACGGGGCCTGGGCGGAGCGCGACGGGGCCCAGGAGGGGCGCTAGGGGTGGGGGGCCTGGGAGGAGCGCGACGGGGCCTGGGAGGGGCGCGACGGGGCGCTACGGGGCCTGGGAGGAGCGCGACGGGGCCCAGGAGGGGCGCTAGGGGGCCTGGGAGGAGCGCGACGGGGCCTGGGAGGGGCGCGACGGGGCCTGGGAGGGGCGTTACAGGGCCCAGGAGGGGCGCTACGACGCCCAGGAGGGGCGCGACGAGGCCCAGGAGGGGCGCTACGGGGCCTAGGAGGGGCGCGACGGGGCGCTACGGGGCCTGGGAGGAGCGCGACGGGGCCCAGGAGGGGGCGCTAGGGGGCCTGGGAGGAGCGCGACGGGGCGCTACGGGGCCTGGGAGGAGCGCGACGGGGCCCAGGAGGGGCGCTAGGGGCCTGGGAGGAGCGCGACGGGGCCTGGGAGGAGTGCGACGGGGCCTGAGAGGGGCGCTAGGGGGCATGAGCGGAAGCGGTAGGTGGGGGGGGGGGGATCCTACCTACGCGTGATACCATATCAGAATAGGAATTGAATGATTGAGTAAAGTGAGAGTACACACAAATATACCTAAGTGTTGTACCCTCTAAGAGGTAACCCTATACAGTCTATACAAACATGACAAATACAGATGTTTGACAAAGATATCTACCTTGTACCCTGCAGCTTCAACGCCTCGATCCGTCCGAGTTGTCTACCAACTCTGAAACTTGACCAGCTTAAACTTAACTGTTATGAGTGAACTAGTCAACCTAAAGGCGATAACAAATCATAATCTACAACAAAACAATTTTGTCCCTGGGTTCCTCTACGCTATTTAACAGGTGGAGGAACAGGGGGGCTTTGTGGAGCCCCAGCATTATGACTCGGAGGTGCCGTGCACGCTCGGTGCATTAATGGACGCAGATTTGTAGTAGGACGGACAGACTGCAGGGAAGAAGACTCGCCGTACACCCTCGGCCTTGATGATTGGCACGATTAGTTGAACAGCTCCCTGCAGACAGAGGCACATGACAACAACAACGCCGATCGACGCTTGCATTCAGACACAATGCAGCCATGTGGCTTACCCTTCCAGACTCATAACAAACACTGCCCCTACTTGGCACAGATGCATGTGCTGAATGAGGGGCAGCACCTGCAGGACCGCTGTACCTGCCTGACTACAGAGCATGTATCAGGCCACAGTACGTCAACCACCCACAGCAACTGCCTGAGCCCCAGTACCTGTATCAAGCGCGCACCGAGCCAGACACGGCCTGGCTTGGGGAGGGGCAGGAGGAGGCGGGCGAGGGCGAAGAAGGCGACGGCGAAGAAGTGCAGCACGAGGGACAGCGGCTGCGGGTTGAGGCCCGACAGCAGCGAGATGGGGCCCTCGGAGCACACCCCACCCAGCTGCAGGTAGTCAAAGCATGCCTGGGGGTTGGGGTGGAGGGAGGGAGGTCAGGGACGAGGAAACAGAAGTTCAAAGGTTGCGGAGTGGGGCACACCCCGCCCAGCTGCAGGTAGTCAAAGCACGCCTGGGGGTGGAGGGCGGAGGTCAGGGATGGGGAGACAGAAGCTCGAGATTGCGGAGTGGTTTGGACATTGAGACCTGTCAGGGCGTGATGAGGCATGGGCTTCGTGGCAGCAGCGGCATGCATGGGAGTGCACATGAGGGAGGAGTGACAAACGCACCAGCAGAGGTGGGCACATGAGGGGGGAATATGACGTAGCAGCAGTGGGTGGCATGGGAGGAGGGGAGGCAAACGCACCTGGCGCATGGCCATCATGGCTTCGTCCTTGGAGGCACAGAAGACGCGGTAGAGGGCGATGGAGAGCGTGTTGATCGTGGCCGCTATGGGCTGCACGGCGCAGGGGAGGCACGGCGCAGGGGAGGCACGGCAAAGGGGACGCATGGCAAAGGGGATGTACGGCACAGGGGACGTAAGTTAGGAACAAGCAAACTAGCAACCGGCAGCTACATACACGACTGAAATGGACAGTGGGCATTGCCCCTGTCACCATGCGTTCCATTGCATCATTGCATGCTGATGACAGCACATCAGCCAAATCAACCCATGTCTGTCGCGGATATGCTTGCTTTGCAGGAAGAATGGTGAGCGGCCACACCAGCAGACGCGCAGACACACCTTGCGGCGGGTGTAAAAGGCCTCGGCATATTCACAGACCGCTCGAGTGTTGCGGAAGTCCTTGAGCGGGCGAAGAATCTGAGTCAGCACTGACACGTCAGACAGAGCCACTGTCATGCCGCCACCTGTTGTCGCGGGCCAACCGTCACCCCGGCAGCAGATCACACAGGATACATGGAGGAGGACAGCATGAGCTCCAGAAGCAGAAGGCTCTAACAAGGGTGTGGAGCGACAGAGGCATGCATGTGCTGCTGCAGTGTGAAGCGATTGCAGCATGTGGTGCAGCGGTGCAGCACAGCAGCAAGACCAGGCGCACCTGTGAGCGGGTGGCGCATGTTAAACGCGTCGCCCATGAGCAGAGCGCCAGGGCGCGTGACGGGGACAGCTGGCATGATGCGATTGGGCATGCAGCGGATGTCGCCCGCCCTCACCGCCTCTCTGAACGGCCCCTGCAGCTGCTTGGGGAGCTGAGGTGGGGCGAAAGGGGAGAGGGGAAGGAGAGATGGGTGAAGCCAATTCGAGCTCGACACAAGTGCAGAGGAGAGGCGTGTAAGGAGAGATGAGACAAGGGAGGGGATTGATGCTCAAGGAGCAGGTTTCGGAAAACTATGCAGAGCACAGGGAGATTTGGGACAGGCGGGCGTGGATTACCTGCGGGAGGACGGTGTGGGTGAGGTAGGCGGCCATGTCCCCCGAGGCGATGGAGGGCACCTTGGTGCCGGCGGGGATGTCGACGAGGCAGCGCACTTCCGAGCTGCTGACGGGGTAGAAGAGGATGGGCGACGGGTCCGCCAGCACCACGTGCCCGTAGTGCGGGTGCGGCAGGGCGCAGTCGCGCAGCAGCAGCCCCACGAACGACGACGGCACGTCCACCTGGGAAGTGCGGGGGGGGAGAGATGCGGGACTCAGATGCGACGGGAATGGCCGGGGCGGACTGGCCTGGTAACGTGGACTCAGACAGGCATGGGTGCCGTGGAGTAGGAGGGACGGCAGTCCCTTGCATTTGGAATATGCTACCCTGGATCTGAGCGCCGTGACCCACCTTGGACTTGGAGATGCTGCGGCGGAGGTTGGAGAAGCACCCGTCGCACACGAAGGTGAGCGGCGCGTGCAACTCCCCCTCCTCCGTCTCCGTCTCGCTCGCTCCGCCCACCACTGCTGCCTCGCACACGTCGCTCGGCGCGCTGCCCGGCGCGCGCTTAGCGGCGCGGTAGCGGACGCCCGTGACGCGGTCGCCGTCCTCCAGCAGCCCGAGCACCGTCGCCTCCCTCAGAGTCACTCTGCACAGCATCGCACGCAGGGGCGGGGGGGGGGGGCACAGAGGGGCGGAGAAGTACGCACAGGGTGCGCAGCGGGGCATAGACGGGGGAATGTAAGGCGCGCAGATCTGGGTGGCAGGATAACGGCAGTGACAGGCAGATCCCATCGATCCACCACTTCCCAACCCACCCATCAATCTACCCCAGTGCCTAGTCCGCATCTCAAGCCCTCGCATGAGGACCAACAACGATTCGAAACCCTCGCACATTCCTCATGTCGCACTGCCTCCCGCAGCACTGCACCGCCTGCCGCCTCCCCCCGTCACCACAATTGCCGATTTCCTCGCATCCTTATCCCCACCTATGACCCCAGCGTCATCCCATCCCTCCGACTCACGTGGGCAGCGACGCCGCCTTCTCGCGCAGCCGCTGCACGAACCGCCCGTTGTGGAAGCCCCGCCCCGCCACCTTCCACATCTCCGCGCCCGCCGCGCTGCCCCCCGCCCTCGCGCCTTCCCCCGAGTCGAGGCGGTGGCCGGCGAAGAGCATGTGGAGCTGAGCCGTGGAGAGCGTGGGGTACGACACCTTGCAGTCGCTGCCGTCCATGAACAGCGCGTACCCGTCGACGCGCTGCGCGTCGATGCCCTCCACGCAGTCTGTGCGCAGAGGGCGCGGGCACAGGGGACAACAGGATGATGACGGGAGAAGCCACGGTGACGTGGGGACGGGGGGAAGCAGCGACGCGGGCGAAGGTAGGAGCAAAATACAGCGCAGAGCACTGCTGACACACCGCCGGGCAATGTGGATACCTTCGACTTACACTCGTGGCCGACGCATCGTGCAGTCCCACTTACTCTGTACCTTGCCCTCTTACCTAACTTGCAGCCCATTCTACCTGGGCCTCCAGCGTACCTTGCAGCCCATTCTACCTGGCCCTCCAGCATACCTAGCAACCCTTTCTACCTGGCCCTCCAGCATACCTTGCAGCCCATTCTACCTCGCCCTCCAGCGTACCTTGCAGGCCCAGCTCGACGAGCTTGAGGTAGCCGCCCGGCTGCAGCAGCTCGCCCACGATGCGATCTGGCTCCGATAGGTCCCTCTCCAACACAAGCACTCGCCGCCCCGCCTGCCGCACACCACCGCACATAACCACATACAGGGTAGATCAGGACATGAAAAGTGTAAGAAATGAAGAAATGAACGCTACTTGAATGCATAAAGCAAGACCGTGAACGAGATTTGAATATGGGTAAAAGAAAATGAACGAGCCTAACCTTTCCGAGGGAGTAAGCGAGCGCACATCCCGCAATGCCTGCGCCGACTACCAGCGCGTCGTACTCCTCCCTGCCGCCGTGCGCCGTGCACGCGTCGTCGCTTGTCGCCTCCCCACCGCTCTGATCTAAGCACGCGTCGTGCCGTGCGGCGTCAGTTAGTCGCTCCAGCGGCATTTCTTCTAGCGGCGTGGCACTGGCTAGCGCATCTCGTTGCTTTTCGCGGGAATACTGCATCGAGATGTACGTGGCGGCTATCAGCAGAGCTATCGTCCATGCTAGCGTCACCGTGCCGATCCCGTCAACCACGCTCCAGAATGACGCCGCCAGCGACGCCATATCCGCCATTGCGCGCGAGACGCCTCACGCCCTCGGATAAACGCTACTTGTCTGCGAACGCGGGTGTCCGCGGACAGCTAGTACCGTAGCGCTTGACCTAAGGACATGGGCGAAGAAAAGAGTGACCTGAAGGCTGAGTGACTGCCTGAGAGGGAAGGAACAACCAGATGGGAGACGATATCTAAATGTTTTTTTCCAACACCTGGGAGGGCAGGGGCACACCTGTTCCATTGCCCCGAGTGGAATCCTGAGGCAGGCTCGTGTGGCGAGGAATACCCAGATTTGCGCGCCAGCGCAACCCTGCGGATTATCCCCTTTCGCAATCAACGGCTGTGGGGGAATGCGAGGACCAGTTCCCTCGGCTTTTGAAACGTGGTTCCCTGTAATTCGTCAAAAGTTGGCGCCAAACTGGATAAATTCTGTGCGACCAACTCGTGTGGGGGAGCGGAGGAAAGGAATGGCTTCGCCAATCACAACTCCACGTAAGTTCCCTCACAGGATTCACCGCAAAATGGGAGCCAATGTCATCCACCGGATGTGCCAGGTGTTGCAGAAAACAGAATTACGGAACCTTCTGAGGCCAATGGCTCAAGAGGGCGTTTGAGTTGCATGTGCGCCCAAAGCCATATTTCTCAGCAATCTTTGCCAGTTGCAATGATCGTGACTCTGTAGTGCTTGTGATTTACAGGTGTACAGAAAAAGATACGGTACATCAGGCGTATGCCGTGTACATCAATTGTAAAACTGCCCATTCCGTTATGCTGACATCGGATCACGCATGTGCTACTGGAGCGTATAGCGCGAACAACTTCAGTCTAGGCAAGCCGGGCTTGTTTGTAGCCGAGGCTCGTGCCACAATCCCCAGCTACAACCACTATTCCTAGCATTCGTGAGGGGTTCCTGTGACAGGACGATTATAACGAGCGGCTCGAACCAATTTCGGGAGTGCATTTTTTCATAAGGTCAGCGGTGTCTCGTGTGCGAAGCAGGCCCGTCGTCGCCATCGCGACGCATCATGGTGACGTCACCCGAGTCTGCGAACAGCGTCCCTGCCGCGCCCGTCTCCGAAGGCGATAATCGTGGCGAGGACCGCGCGCTGCCGTCAGTTCCTTCTGTTGCAACAATGGTTACTGCTTCGTGCAGTACGCCACTGACGCCGCTGCGCTCCGAGCCGCCGCCGAACCGGACCGCATACTGGTACGTGGGTTGCCTGTCGTATCAGGGAGGCGAACTCAGGATTCTTAATGCTTTGGCGTGCGTCCTGGCTCGACGTGCGATGGTGCGTCTCTGTGGCTCGTCCGCGTGCAACGCGTACCTCCCCCTGACATCGTAACCACCTCTCTCTCATCCCCTCCGTACCCGTCACTTTGTTCCTTCCCTCCCTCCGCTCTCCCCCCCCCCCTGGGTGCGCGTGGCACGGCGGCATGGCATGGGGAGCGGGCCATGCAGGTGCAGGGGTTTCTGGTGTGGTTGAGAGGATGTTATCTTGACGGGGTGGAGGGGACGGAGAGGCGAACTTAAGCCAGTATCCCCTCGACGCTGTCCCTTCGTCAACCTTCTCCTCATTGTCCCCTCGTCATTATCACCTTCGTCAATTTTCCCTCCGCCAACTCGCATTCGTCTCAGATGTCCTGCTCGTTGGACACTTGACGGATACACGTCTCCAAGCTGCTCATGATTCGGGACTAGGAGTGTCTGAAGCTTCTCAGAGGCAGCCTCATCTCACCGTACCCTCTCCACCCCACCCCAGGCACGTCGCATTTGAGCATGACCAATCCCTACTCCCACTCATCCCTTCCTTCTGTCGTTTCCTCATGCGGACAACAACATTGTAAGCACTCTTGACAGCAGAGCCGCTGAAGTGAAACAAGTCAGCTGATGAGGGTGCGTGAGGGGGGTGAATGAAGATAAGGTATGGCCCTGTGTACAGAGGTGAGTACGTCTAGTGGAACAGCCTGGAAGGGCATGCGGTGATGTTCCTTGCTATGCCATCTCGCATGTCAGATGTGTGTGCGTTAGAACCATCACTTGTTGAATTGCCCCGCTCATTAACAATGTCTCTGATTTCCAGACGTCCCTGTTCGTTCTCCTTGTCTAGTGTTGAGACTATTGAGAGAGCATGCGTCCTGTACATTGGTCGCGCCCGCTGCACTTCCTATCCCCTGCACTCTCCCTTCATTGTGCTGCTTCCCAAGCATGGGAGAGGTGGTGTGGTGAGGCGGAAGACATCGCTGCCCAGGGGTAAGGGAGGATGACGACGAGAAACTACATCATGAGTGAGACGGACTACCTCACTTATGCTGTTTTCCTGTCCTCCCGTCCTCTGCTGTCTTCCTCTCGCTGTTCTTTTTTCCGCTCTGTGCTGTTTCTGGGTAAGTTGTTGTACTTCTGCCTCTGCTGCTACAAATCGCAGCCACTCGGTTGTGCGCACTCTTCTTCACGTCCTTCCAGTCACTCGCCTCCGTTTTTACTGTCAGTTCTTTCAATTTCCACCCCACCGGCCCTGCCCACCACCCAGGTGTGCTTTGACTACCTGCAGCTGGGCGGGGTGTGCTCCGAGGACCCCATCTCGCTAAGTATCTTCTCTTCCTGCAGCACTGGTGGGGTGTCTTAGTGAGGGGACAATCGTCACAAGCGCTGCTAGCAAACCTTCGGAGTCTCTTTTTTAAGCTCACCTATGTTTCGTGCTGTGAGCAGGCCCTTCGTTACCATCGTGGAGCCATGATGGCTACGGCACCAGAGGATGTGAACCTCATTCCTCCAGCCACGCACGCCGAAGGCGATAATCGTGCCAAAGACTACGCGCACGTGCGCCTGCCGCGGGACGCCGCCACGGGGCGCAACAAGGGCTACTGCTTCGTGCACTACGCCTCCGACGCCGCTGCGCGCCGAGCGGCCGCCCAACTGGACCGGCATGCTGGTGCGCGCTGGACGTGCGCCACAGCATGGTAGTTGGGAACAGTGCGGTCAGCCTTACGTTTCAACATTATGAGTATTCTGGTCATTCAGATGCTGAAACTTCCGTGTTTATTAGTGCCTCGCGGTCCTCAAAGGTGGGTTCCACTTTCAAGTTTTAAGCAGTAAGTAATTTCGCACACCCTCATGCAGTCAGTTAACTTCTCTGACAACCTGGGTTGACGCAGGTAGAAGCAACAAGGTTACTTCCACCCAAAGGTAACAGTAAACTACGCTTGCGACCAGGCCCCTAGATTGCAGGAAAATTTTCCTGATTCAGGAAAAAAACAGAGTTGTTGCTGGTACCAGTCCTGATTGTCCAGGATTTTTCGAAAGGCATTTCCTGTTTTTTCAGCATTTTTTGGGGGTCAACTCTGATTGCTAAGCAAAGTTTTCTTAACGAATCCTGAAATTTCAGCTTTGCAACGAAACTGTACTTGTTTCCGTCCAAGCGTGACCTGGGGGCCAGCAGAGATTTCCAAGGTTCTGGCCCGCCCTCCAGGCTCTGTGAGGGCGCTTATTGGCCCTTCACCAAATTCGTGGCTCGACGCGTGGGGGCAGTGTGAGGGAGGGCACTTGGTCCTTAGCCAAATTTTGGGCCCGATGTGTTCCTTAGAGCTTTGTATGGGCGAAATTTCCCTCAGCCCCTGCAATGTCGCCCACCTGACCCGATTCACCCTGCAAGCATAAATTCGCTACTAAAGCATGCGCTAAGAACCTCTAAGAAATCAGGAAAAACTCCATAAGTAACTCTGTCTGCTCAGGAAAAAAATATTTAGGAGTCCTGATTCACGAGGAATTTTTTTGGGACCAACCCTGAAAAATCAGAGAAAAACTCAGGGGGGATCCTGAGCGATCAGGGCTCCTAAAAACCAATCTAGGGGCCTGCTTGCGACGTTGGCTTGCAGGTTTCAATTTATTGTCGAACATAACTTATGTTGTTACTGTAGACTATACAGGTTTGTGCCTTAGAGGGTACAACACACTAGTCTATATTGCCCTGTATCTCCCTGTTCTATTTTTTTCTCTCTTTCTAACATGGTATCATGAGTAGGTTAGTTTCCTCTCGCCCGCCCGCGCTTCCGCCCTAGGCCCTAGCCCCCCTCGTGCCCGGCCCCTAGCTGGCTCGCCCCTAGCCGGCCCCCTGGCCGTCGCGCTCTCCCCTAGCCGGCCCCCTGGCCGTCGCGTCCGCCCCTAGCCAGCCCCCCTGGCCGTCGCGCCCGCCCCTAGCTGGCCCCCTGGCTGTCGCGCCCGCCCCTAGCTGCCCCCTGGCCATCGCGTCCGCCCCTAGTCGGCCCCCTGGCCCTCACGCCCGCCCCTAGCTGGCCCCCTGGCCGTCCGCGCCTGCCCCTAGCTGGCCCCCTGGCCGTTGCACCCGCTCCTAACCGGCCCCCCTTGGCCATTCGCGCCCGCCCCTAGCTGGCCCCCTGGCCGTTTGCACCCGCCCCTAGCTGGCCCCCTGGCCGTCGCGCCCCTCCTAGCCGGCGCCCTGGCCGTTCGCACCGGCTCCTAGCCGGCCCCTCGCGCCCCTGTCGCGCCCGCTCCTCGACGGCCCCTCGCGCCCGTCCCTCGTCTGCCCCGCCCCCCCATCTTCTAGCCGGCCCCGGGTTCGCTACGCCGCCGGCCCGTCTCTGCCTCGTGCACGGTTCGTCCTTCTCCAATCTGCACTGCTCTGCACCGCCCGGAGCCGCTCTCCACCACTTGGCACCGTACTCCACTGCCCGGCACCGCACTGCACTGCGCTGCACAGCACTGCACCGCCCTGCGCTGCCCTGTACCGCACTGCACCGCACTGCACCGCCCTGCACCGCACTGCACCGCTCAGTACCGCACTGCACCGCATGCACCGCTCTGCATCGTTCCTGATGGCGGAGGTACTTCGCTTTGACGCTGAGGGCCAGCTGCTTGAGTTTGACGCGTGGCTGGTCGACCTCCGCCGCCATCTTACTGGTCAGCGGCAGGATGGCCACTCGCTGTCTGTCCACCTTGACGGTACGCTCCCCTGCCCTGACCCCCCTGCCGCGCTGCCTGCTGACCCCTCGTCTGCTCAGCGTGAGTCCGCTGCCACTGCTGCCCTTGCTCGCCCTGTCTGGCTGTCGCGTGACGCTGTTGCGCAGCTTGCTATCAGCCATGCCCTCCCACTCTCTGAGCGCCCTCACTTTAAGTCCGTCACGACTGCGCAGGCATTCCTAGATGCTGTTGTCCAGCGCTATTCCACCCCGCCTGCTGCCTCTGTAGGTCGCCTGATCTTGCCGATGCTTTTCCCTGACCTTGCGTCTTTCCCTACTGGCGCTGACCTTGCCGCCCACCTGTGCGCGATAGACACGACCTGGCGCCTGGTGGTGGCGCAGACGAGAGGAATGTCCCTGGTGTCGCCGAGCAGCCGTCCCAGCAGCCGCAGCCGTCGCAGCCGGACCAGCACCACCCGCAACCGTAGCCCCAGCTCCAGCAGCAGCAGTCACAGCACCCGCAGCAGTCGCAACACCCGCAGCGGCAGAGGCGGGCGAGTGGTCTCCCGCCCGGGTGGCCTGGCGCTGGTGGCGGCGGTGGACGTGGTGGTGGACGTGCGCGTGGTGTGCTCCCGGGTGGTAGTTCGGGTGACGGGCGCTGCCAGTACCAGCTCCATACCGGCTCTCGCCGCGGCTCCGTTTGCGGTAGACCGGTCACTCCCCTGCTCGCTGCTTCCGTCGCCTTGACGACCTGTTTCGTCTTCGCTTCGGCCCGTCACCCGACCTCCCTGACTGGTTCAGCTTGCTTCGTCGTAGTATTCCGATTTTTTATATGGACGTGGATAAGCTTAGCTCTGCCCTGTATGTGCTGTATGCTGATGACTCTAGTGTGACTGGTTCTTACTACCCCGTGTTGCCTAGTGTAGGTGTGCCTAGTCGTGCCCCCCTCTGCTGCGTCAGGCGTAGGACCTCCTGCCTTGTTTAGCCTAGGTTCCTCCGTCACTGCTTCGACCTCGGCTGACACTGCTGCGCTCACCTTCACCTTGGACTCTGGCGCTTCTCGGTGTTTCTTCCGCGACTCTACTACGCTGTCCCCGCTTGATGCTCCTGCTGCGGTTTCCCTTGCTGACCCCTCCTCCGGTCCGGTAGTCGCTCGTAGTTCTACCACCCTTCCCTGTCCGGCGGCTCCTTCCGGCTCGCTCACAGGCTTGAACGTCCCCTCGTTTTCCAAGAACCTAGTTGGTGCTGGCTGCCTCCAGGACCTTGGCGTCACCACTACGTTCCCTGGTCACGAGCGGCTTGCTGTCTGTACTGAGGCGCCACTGGTGTTTCCCTCGCTACGTTTCCCCGGGACCCGGTGTCTGGCCGGTTCACACTGGACACCGCGCCCCCCCCGGTTCGGACGCCTCCCCAGGTAGCTGTGTCGTCTCAGGTTGCAGCGGCCTGCTCGTATCGGTCGCTTACTCACCCGACCCTCCATTGGCACCACCGTCTAGGTCACCCTGCGCTCCCGCGTATCCGTCACATGTTACAGCACGGTCTTGTCCTAGGTCTCCCAGGGTCGTTCCCCGCAATGCCCCCCTCCACAGTGCCACCGTGCACGCCCTGCGTCGAGGGTCGGCTCCGCCATGCCCATCACTCCTCCTCCTTCCCCCCCACCACTGCACAACTACAGACCTTGCACATGGACGTCTGGGCCCCCGCCCCCGTCCATGGACCGCGTCACAAGCGCTACTTCCTCGTTCTTGTCGACGACTTCACGTGCTACACCACGGTTTTTCCCTTGGAGCGGAAGGCTGACGTGCCTGACGTTCTTATCCCGTGGCTTGTCTCTGCGCGTGTCCACCGCGGTCTCCCTGTCTTGCGTCTCCACTCCGACCGTGGTGGCGAGTTTGCCTCTGGTATCCTTGGTCGCTTCTGTCGTGCGGAGGGCATCACCCAGACGTTCACCCTTCCGGACTCGCCGCAGCAGAATGGGGTCGCTGAGCGACGCATCGGTTTGGTCATAGAGGTGGCTCGTACCTCCATGATCCACGCCGGTGCACCCCATTTTCTGTGGCCGTTCGCGGTTCGCTACGCTGCTCACCAGCTTAACCTGTGGCCGCACCCTCAGCTGCCACAGGTTTCGCCGACCCTTCTTTGGACTGGGTCTCCTGGTGACGCGTCTGCGTTCCACGTTTGGGGCTGCCTTGCTCACGTTCGTGCCTCTGGCACGGACAAGCTTACTGCCCGCACTGCCCCTGTGTCTTCCTTGGTTTCCCCCTTGACTCGTCCGACTGGCACTTCTACCACCCGCCGTCCCACCGTTTCTTTCATTCCCGCGACGTTACCTTTGACGAGTCCGTTTCCTTCTACCGCCGCTTTCCACACAATGATCCCCCGGTTACCCCCCCCCTGTTCCTGGTTCCCTCGTCCCTGGTAGTCCCAGCCCCGCCCCCCCCGCGTCCTGCCCTGTCCGGTGTGTCTCACGTCACTCCCCTCCCGTCGGTTGTGCCGGTTGAGGAGTCTGCTGACTCTGGTGGTCCTGCGGCCCAGTCCTTGTCGCCTGCCTCCTCTCCGGTGTCTCCTCCTCCGCCGTCATCGCAGCAGTCGTCGCCGCTGCCGCCACCGTCGTTGCCGCCGCAGCCACCGTCCCTGCTGCAGCAACCGTTGCTTCGTTCCCACGTGGCTCGTCCTCCCCCCCTCCCATTGCCTCCTCCATCCTCCCTTGTCGTTGCGCCTCCCCCTCTATGTGACTACCTTCGTGCCGCTCATCCTCTTGTTCCTCGGGTCCTTGCCTCTCTCGTTACCGACCCGTCTGTTCCGGTTTCGCGCCTTGACGCTCTTGTCGCTGCGGTCACTGACTTCGCCTCTACCCCCCGCCTTGACTACGCCACCGCTCTGGTCTGTGACCCTGCCTGTCCTCCGTCTGTCGGGGGTGCTCCTGCCCTTGGCAGTGACGTCCAAGAGGACCGCCAGTACGAGCTTGCTTTCCTGTCCTAGGCTGCTCCCCATCTCTGTTCCATGTTGCTAGTCCCTGAGGGTGACCCAGACGCTTTCGACATCCCGACCCCTCGCACTTACGCTGAGGTGGTCTCGGGACCTTGGGCCTCCCAGTGGATAGCTGCCATGGAGCAGGAGATGGCATCTTGGAGATCCACCGGCACCTACGTCGACGCAGTTCCCCCACCTGGGGTGAACGTAGTCGATGGCCGCTGGCTCTTCAAGGTGAAGCGCCCCCCTAAAGAGCCGCATGTGTTCAAGGCGCGCTACGTGGCCAGAGGTTTCAGTCAGCGTAAGGGGTGGACTTCTTTCAGACCTTCGCTCCGACCCCGAAGATGACTACTCTTCGGGTGCTGCTACACGTAGCAGCTCAGCGTGACTACGAGCTTCACTCCCTTGACTTCTCCACTGCCTTTCTTCAGGGCAGTCTACATGAGCAGGTCTACCTGCGCCGCCCTCAGGGCTTCACTGGTACCTTCCCTCCTGGGACCCAGTGGCTCCTTCGGTGCCCCGTCTACGGCCTGCGGCAGGCTTCCCGTGAGTGGCACGACACGCTGCGTGCTACCCTTGCTGACTTGCAGTTCTTTCCGTCCTCTGTAGACCCCTCGCTCTTCGTTCGTGCTGGCCAGACTCCGTTCTACATCCTTGTTTACGTAGACGACATGGTCTTCGCCACTGCAGACAGGGACGCACTGGCCTCGGTGAAGGCAGAGCTGCTAAAGAGACACACCTGCACAGACCTTGGAGAACTGCACCACTACCTGGGCTTGCAGATCTCCAGGGACAGAGCAGCGCGCACCATCACCTTGACTCAGTCACACTTGGTGCGCCAGGTCCTTCAGAGGTTCGGCCTTCAGTTCTCCTCCGCACAGCCCACTCCTCTGCCTCTAGACCATAGGCTCTCTACTACAGTTCCTGAGGAGTCAGTAGAGCCCAGTGTTCCTTACGTAGAGCTGGTGGGTTGCCTCATGTACCCGATGACTTGCACCCGCCCAGATCTCGCATACCCTCTCAGCATCCTGGCTCGCTTTGTGGCCAAGGGCAGACACCGACCTCAGCACTGGTATGCCGCTAAGAGGGTTTTGCGTTATCTTGCAAGTACATCCGGCATGGGGTTAGTGCTAGGAGGACGCAGGCCCGTGGTCCTTACTGGACACACGGACGCTTTTTGGGCAGACGACGCCGAGACCCTCAGGTCCTAGCAGGGTTACTGCTTTAGCCTTGGTTCAGGTGCCGTCTCGTGGAGAGCTACCCGCTCCTCGTCTGTTGCCCAGTCCAGCTGTGAGGCCGAGATCTACGCTGGTGCCATGGCGGCAAAGGAGCTCCGCTGGCTGACCTTCTTGCTCACTGACTTAGGTGAGCAGCCTAACTCTGCCCCGGCCCTGTACGCTGACAACAGGGCCATGCTCCTCCTGTGTCAGGAGCCTCGACTCAAGGGGAGAGCGAAGCACATCTAGCTGCGGTACTTCCTCCTACGTGAGCTACAGCAGCGTCACCAGGCTCGCGTAGTACACTTGGCCTCCGGTGCCAACACAGCTGATATCATTACGAAGGCGCTTGCGCCTAAAGATCATCAGCGACACTGTTTATAGCTAGGCCTCGTTCCTGTAGTCTCTCACTTGCTAGGGCCTTGACTTTGTACTGCCCTTTATATATATTTTACCCTGACTGGCCTTGTGGCCTCTCCTAGTGGCTGGACTAGTAGTGCCGCCCTGGTTTTGCTCTTGTCTTGTCTGTACTCCTTTTGTCTGGTCTTTAGACCCTTGTCTCAGAGGCTGGACTAGTAGTACCGCCCTGAGCTTCTTCTTCCCTTGTTAGGCACTACCCCTATATAGTCTAGGGGGTGTGTCAAACATAACTTATGTTGTTACTCTAGTCTATACAGGTTTGTGCCTTAGAGGGTACAACACACTAGTCTATATTGCCCTGTATCTTCCTATTCTAGTCATTCTCTCTTTCTGATACAAGGCCCATTTTGCCAGAAACCAGAGAAATGAGTAGCACACAATTCTAGGTCTGCTGTACTAAATCGATGCGATATTTTCTTTGCCAGTGTCCGTTAGTGTCGGTCATCTCTCGTTCTGCGGTGCAATATCGTCGCCGGCTGTCATGGCATGTTTTGTCAATGGACATACTCCTCTCACCTTATGCTACTGTACTAGAAACAGCTGGCTGTCGGACCAGGCAAACAAAGAGCCTATCGAGGTCAACTTTGTTGACCATCTCCAAAAGATTGATTATCCACTCAAACTCTCCCCCACTCAAAACTTTCCTTCCTCCACTCTCCCATCTCATCTCACCCCCCGTTCTGGCTATCCTGTCTTCCCTTTATTTTGTATGGTTTGTTCACTAGACTAAGTGCTCTGTTCTGATCTTCCTGTTGTACCTGCCAAGCTGCCGTAGGTGTGTGCATCTGCAGGGCGCAGTTCTGCAAAAAAACTTCTTTGGTGTGGCTTCCTCCTTTGAAACACAGCCGCTCAATTTAATCTCGAGTCTGTCAGTGTATTCTTGTCTTGTATATTTGATATCATTAGCTACTAGTATAGGGTTGAACAATGCGGCCTCCTATGAAAGACGGTATTTACGCATCCTTTTTCAGACCAGATGCAGCTTACATTTCGTGTAGACATGGTGAAATTTTGGTTTACTTGTTTTTTGCCACATGAGGTACAAAATGCAAACCTATAATGAGTTACCGTTATGGGTTCAAGCTTGTGGAATGGTTTTGGAAATATTCGATCGAAGGCCAGTGTCCGAAGGCTAGTATCCGAAATTTCATGTTGGAGGGTTTGTTGTCAGGTCCTTGCACGTTTGTTAGGATTTCAAAAACTTTAGGGTTTAGGCAGAGCTGCTGTAGTGCCTCCCTTGCACCATGCATCCCTTGTGTCGTGCCTCCCCTGCACCATGCATCCCTTGTATAGTGCCTCCCCTGCACCATGCATCCCTTGTATAGTGCCTCTCCTGCACCATGCATCCCTTGTGTCGTGCCTCCCCTGCACCATGCATCCCTTGTATAGTGCCTCCCTTGCACCATGCATCCCTTGTATAGTGCCTCCCCTGCACCATGCATCCCTTGTATAGTGCCTCCCCTGCACCATGCATCCCTTGAGTAGTGCCTCCCCTGCACCATGCATCCCTTGTGTAGTGCCTCCCCTGCACCATGCATCCCTTGTGTAGTGCCTCCCCTGCACCATGCATCCTTTGTGTAGTGCCTCCCCTGCACCATGCATCCCTTGTATAGTGCCTCCCTTGTATAGCGCCTCCACTGCACTGTGCATCCCTTGTATAGTGCCTCCCCTGCACCGTGCATCCCTTGTATAGTGCCTCCCCTGAAGTGTGCCCCTGCACCATGCATCCCTTGTATAGTGCCTCCCTTGCACCATGCATCCCTTGTGTAGTGCCTCCCCTGCACCATGCATCCCTTGTGTCGTGCCTCCCCTGCACCATGCATCCCTTGTATCGTGCCTCCCCTGCACCATGCATCCCTTGTATAGTGCCTCCCTTGCACCATGCATCCCTTGTATAGTGCCTCCCCTGCACCATGCATCCCTTGTATAGTGCCTCCCCTGCACCATGCATCCCTTGACTAGTGCCTCCCCTGCACCATGCATCCCTTGTGTAGTGCCTCCCCTGCACCATGCATCCCTTGTGTAGTGCCTCCCCTGCACCATGCATCCCTTGTGTAGTGTCTCCCCTGCACCATGCATCCCTTGTGTCGTGCCTCCCCTGCACCATGCATCCCTTGTGTCGTGCCTCCCCTGCACCATGCATCCCTTGTGTAGTGCCTCCCCTGCACCATGCATCCCTTGTGTCGTGCCTCCCCTGCACCATGCATCCCTTGTGTCGTGCCTCCCCTGCACCATGCATCCCTTGTGTCGTGCCTCCCCTACACCATGCATCCCTTGTGTAGTGCCTCCCCTGCACCATGCATCCCTTGTGTAGTGCCTCCCCTGCACCATGCATCCCTTGTGTAGTGCCTCCCTTGCACCATGCATCCCTTGTGTCGTGCCTCCCCTACACCATGCATCCCTTGTGTCGTACCTCCCCTGCACCATCCATCCCTTGTGTCGTGCCTCCCCTGCACCATGCATCCCTTGTGTCGTGCCTCCCCTGCACCATGCATCCCTTGTGTCGTGCCTCCCCTGCACCATGCATCCCTTGTGTCGTGCCTCCCCTGCACCATGCATCCCTTGTCTAGTGCCTCCCCTACACCATGCATCCCTTGTGTAGTGCCTCCCCTGCACCATGCATCCCTTGTGTAGTGCCTCCCTTGCACCATGCATCCCTTGTGTAGTGCCTCCCTTGCACCATGCATCCCTTGTGTAGTGCCTCCCCTGCACCATGCATCCCTTGTGTAGTGCCTCCCCTGCACCATGCATCCCTTGTGTAGTGCCTCCCCTGCACCATGCATCCCTTGTTTAGTGCCTCCCCTACACAATGCATCCCTTGAGTAGTGCCTCCCCTGCACCATGCATCCCTTGTGTAGTGCCTCCCCTGCACCATGCATCCCTTGTGTAGTGCCTCCCCTGCACCATGCATCCCTTGTGTAGTGACTCCCCTACACCATGCATCCCTTGTGTAGTGCCTCCCCTGCACCATGCATCCCTTGTGTAGTGCCTCCCCTGCACCATGCATCCCTTGTGTCATGCCTCCCCTGCACCATGCATCCCTTGTGTCGTGCCTCCCCTGCACCATGCATCCCTTGTGTCGTGCCTCCCCTGCACCATGCATCCCTTGTGTAGTGCCTCCCCTGCACCATGCATCCTTTGTATAGCGCCTCCCCTGCATCATGCCTCCCTTGTATAGCGCCTCCACTACACTGTGCACCCCTTGTATAGTGCCTCCCCTGCACCGTGCATCCCTTGTAAAATGCCTCCCCTGCAGTGTGCCCCTGCACCATGCATCCCTTGTATAGTGCCTCCCTTGCACCATGCATCCCTTGTATAGTGCCTCCCCTGCACCATGCATCCCTTGTGTAGTGCCTCCCCTACACCATGCATCCCTTGTGTCGTGCCTCCCCTGCACCATGCATCCCTTGTGTCGTGCCTCCCCTGCACCATGCATCCCTTGTATAGTGCCTCCCTTGCACCATGCATCACTTGTATAGTGCCTCCCCTGCACCATGCATCCCTTGTATAGTGCCTCCCCTGCACCATGCATCCCTTGAGTAGTGCCTCCCCTGCACCATACATCCCTTGTGTAGTGCCTCCCCTGCACCATGCATCCCTTGTGTAGTGCCTCCCCTGCACCATGCTTGTGTAGTGCCTCCCCTGCACCATGCATCCCTTGTGTCGTGCCTCCCCTGCACCATGCATCCCTTGTGTCGTGCCTCCCCTGCACCATGCATCCCTTGTGTCATGCCTCCCCTGCACCATCCATCCCTTGTGCGGTGCCTCCCCTGCACCATCCATCCCTTGTGTCGTGCCTCCCCTGCACCATGCATCCCTTGTGTCGTGCCTCCCCAGCACCATCCATCCCTTGTGTCGTGCCTCCCCTGCACCATGCATCCCTTGTGTCGTGTCTCCCCTGCACCATGCATCCCTTGTGTAGTGCCTCCCCTGCACCATGCATCCCTTGTGTAGTGCCTCCCTTGCACCATGCATCCCTTGTGTCATGCCTCCCCTGCACCATGCATCCCTTGTGTCGTGCCTCCCCTGCACCATCCATCCCTTGTGTCGTGCCTCCCCTGCACCATGCATCCCTTGTGTAGTGCCTCCCCTACACCATGCATCCCTTGTGTAGTGCCTCCCCTGCACCATGCATCCCTTGTGTAGTGCCTCCCTTGCACCATGCATCCCTTGTGTAGTGCCTCCCCTGGACCATGCATCCCTTGTGTAGTGCCTCCCCTGCACCATGCATCCCTTGTGTAGTGCCTCCCCTGCACCATGCATCCCTTGTTTAGTGCCTCCCCTGCACCATGCATCCCTTGAGTAGTGCCTCCCCTGCACCATGCATCCCTTGAGTAGTGCCTCCCCTGCACCATGCATCCCTTGTGTAGTGCCTCCCCTGTACCATGCATCCTTTGTATAGTGCCTCCCCTGCATCATGCCTCCCTTGTATAGTGCCTCCCCTGCATTGTGCATCCCTTGTATAGTGCCTCCCCTGCACTGTGCATCCCTTGTATTGTGCCTCCCCTGCACCGTGCATCCCTTGTATAGTGCCTCCCCTGCACTGTGCCTCCCTTGTATAATGCGTCCCCTGCACCATGCATCCCTTGTATAGTGCCTCCCTTGCACCATGCATCCCTTGTATAGTGCCTCCCCTGCACCATGCATCCCTTGTATAGTGCCTCCCCTGCATCATGCCTCCCTTGTATAGTGCCTCCCCTGCACCGTGCCTCTCTTGTATAGTGCCTCCCTTGCACCATGCATCCCTTGTGTAGTGCCTCCCCTGCACCATGCCTCCCTTGTATATTGCCTCCCCTTCACCGTGCCTCCCTTGTATAGTGCCTCCCCTGCACCGTGCATCCCTTGTATAGTGCCTCCCCTGCACCGTGCCTCCCTTGCAAAGTGCCTCCCCTGCACCATGCATCCCTTGTACGTATAGTGCCTCCCTTGCACCATGCATCCCTTGTATAGTGCCTCCCCTGCACCATGCATCCCTTGTATAGTGCCTCCCCTGCACTGTACATCCCTTGTATAGTTCCTCCCCTGCACTTTGCCTCCCTTGTATAGTGCCTCCCCTGCACCGTGCCTCCCTTGAAAAGTGCCTCCCCTGCACCATGCATCCCTTGTATAGTGCCTAACTTGCACTGTGCTTCCCTTGTATAGTGCCTCCCCTGCACCATGCATCCCTTGTGTCGTGCCTCCCCTGCACCATGCATCCCTTGTCTAGTGCCTCCCCTGCACCATGCATCCCTTGTCTAGTGCCTCCCTTGCACCATGCATCCCTTGTGTCGTGCCTCCCCTACACCATGCATCCCTTGTGTCGTACCTCCCCTGCACCA